CAGGGGAATGGCGATTGTCTGTAAAATCTTGCGGCGTTTTCTTTTTGAGAATTGCGCAGTTGAAGCTCTGATTCTGGGCAGCAGTAGCAGCAGCAGCAAGAACAGCAACAGCAGCAGCAACAGCAGCAGCAACGATTATTCCTGCAGCTGCGACGGGTGCAAGCGTGCAGCAGCAGCAGCAGCAGGAGTAGCAGCAGCAGCAGATGCCTCGTCTGCTGCTGCTGTCATGCGGCAGCTGCTGACTCTTGCGGATTTATGTGCAGCAGCAAATGCTTTGGGGGCCCCGCAGCAAGTCGGGGGGCCCCCACCCTTAGACTTTGGGGGCCCCCAGCTGCAGCTGCGGGTTGCTGCTGCCCTAGCAGAGGCATGGAGAAGGCATGCGGCTTCCTTGCAGCAGCAGCAGCAGCAGCAGCAGCAGAGACAAGAGGAGGAGGAGAAGGAGCAGCAGCAAAAGCAGCTGCAGCAGCAGCAAGAGTGGTTGGTGGGGTGTACGCACACCTTTGTATTGCGTTGTGGGGCGATGCCCCTTGCTGCTGCTTTGCTGCTTCCGCTGCTGCTGCCGACTCCCCCAGTAGATCCTGAAATGCTGCAGCAGCTGCAGCAGCTGTTGCAGCTGTCTCCTTCTCTCTGCTGCAGGAGCCTAACCTCGACTCCTTGCTGCCACTCTGCTGCTGCAGCTGCTGCAGCTGCTGCTACCACCTGCTGCGGGCCTCAAAAGGAGACGCTTGTCTCCTCTAGGAGACACTTGGTGTGCAGCTCTACTGCGTTGCTGCTGCGCTGCTGCATGCAGCGGGGGGCCTCTGGGGCCCCCCTCTCGAAGGCTGTCTTTCAAACCCTAAGCGCTTTCTTCTCTCTGTCAATGCAACAGGGGCCCCATAGGGGGGCCCCCCTGGAGGGGCCCCCTTTGTATGCTTTGAATCCTCTTGGAGTGTGCGGGTTGGAGGCGTGGCGGTGCCTGAGGGCAGCAGTTGCTGCTGTTGCAGGGGCCCCCGGGGGGGCCCCCCTGTTGATTCGTTATGCAGGGAAGTTCGTAGGTAAAGGAGGTGCTGCTGCGTTTGGGTTTGCTGCTGCTGCTGCACTTATTGATATACTAGGGGGCTTCTGTCCCCTTAAAGGGCCCCTCAGCAGCAGCAAGGATGCAGATAAAGCAGCAGCAACAGATGCAGCAGCAGCAGCAGCAGATGCAGCAGCACACACCCCATCCTGCAAAGGAGACACCTGCCCCGCTTGTCGACTTCCTGATGTTTTGCGAGTGCAGCAGCAGCTGCAGCAACAGCAGCAGCAGCAGCAGCAGAGGGTGCTGCGTGAGGTGTACAGGCAGCTGCTACATGCGCTGCTGCTGCAATGGTGCAGCGAACGGGAGCAGCAGCTGCTGTCGCTAGAGCAGCAAGTCGCCCTCACATTTTGTTTGCTGCGCTTCTTGCTGCACACAGCAGCAGCAAAAGCAGCAGCAAAAGCAGCAGCAAAAGCACCAAACCCAGCAGCAGCAGCAGCAGCAGCAGAAGCAGCAGCAGCAGCAGCAAGTTTTTCTTTAGGAGACTGGGAAGCGGGGCAGCTAATGGAAGGTATTCACATGTGTCTCCTATCTGCTGAGGAGACACTCCGTTGCTGCGGCATGGCAGCAGCAGAAGGGTTTGCTGCTGCAGCACTTGGTGCTGGGGAGGGCCCCCCTAAGGGTAGCGGCTTTGCTGCAGGGGCCCCCACGGCTGGGGCCTTTGATATAAACACCGCAGCAGCAGCAGATGAAGATGAGGGGCCCCTTGTCTTTAGGGCCCTCACAGACAAGCAGCTGCTGCTGCGCTGCCCCCAGCTGCTGCCTCTCCTTCATGTGCTGCAGCCTCAGGAGGCCTCTAATAAAACTTCACAAGGGGGCCCCCCTGGGGGCCCCTGGAAGGGGCCCCTTAGGGGCCCCCTGGGGGGCCCCTGGGGGGGCCCCTGGGCGGTGTACAGGCTGCACCCCTTCCTCGTTAATGCTCAGAGTGTGCAGCAAGCAGAAGCAGCAGCAACAGCAGCAACAGCAGCAACAGCAGCAACAACAGCAGCAGCAGCTTCAGCACTCCCCCTATCAAAGGAGTTCGAAGCCTTAGGGGGCCCTGCTTGGCTTCATCTGCTGGCAGCTCTCCGCTTCAGCCTTTCAGGGGGCCCCCATAACAATGAGGATGGGGGGCCCCAGGGGGCCCCCCCCCAGGATGAAGGTCCCCAAGGGGGGCCCCCCATAGGGGCCCCCATAGGGGCCCCCCTAGGGGGCGCTAAAGATGAAGAGACAGCAGCAGAAAGCGGGTGTGTGCATATTGAATTAGAATGTGAAGAGGAGTCTGGAAAGGAGACAGAAAAAGAGACAGATGAAGAGACAGATGAAGAGACAGATGAAGATGAAGTTAGGCTCGCGCAGCTACCCGACCTGCAACCCTTACCGACTGCTGCAATGCAGCAAGGGGGCCCCCATGAGGGGCCCCCAGGGGGCCCCCTGGGGGCCCCTCATGGGGGCCCCCAGTCTCTTCGTCAGGCCCTCGAGTGGTTGAGTGGGTCCTGCACATTAGGAGACCGATGTAGCCCCGGTGCTGCAGCAGCAGCAGCAGCAGCAGCAACAGCAGCAGATCCTTCTCGCAAAGGCCCTTTAGCAGCAGCAAGAAAGGAGACAAACCCCTGCAAGCAGCTGAGGAGACAGGTAGCAGCAGCACAAGCAGTAGTGCGTCTTTCAGTCAGTGAGGTTCAGCGGTGTCTCGCAGCAAATCCTTTGGGGCCCCTCGTGGGGGGCCCCCAGGGGGCCCCCGGAGCTGTCTCCTTGGGGGTGTCTCCTTCTGCAGGATTTGTAACGAATCAGATGGAGACAGCTGTGGCTTTGCCGCTGCTGCATGCAATTTTGGGGCTGGATTGCTCGCTGCAGCCAGAGTTGCTGCAGCCGCTAGTTGCTGCTGCTGCTGCTGCAGTGTTTGCTGCTTTTTTCCCGCTGCTGCTGCAGCAAGTGGCACCCCTCTTGCTGCAGCAGCAAACCAGCGTCACTCAGAAACTGCTGCTGCTGCAGGCGCTGCAGCGAGCTGTTCGCTGGCTGAGAGCGGGGGCCCCCCCGGATGCAGGGGCCCTCTATACAGACAACCCCCAACCAAAGAAGGCAGCAAAACGCATGCAGCTGCAGCAGCTGCAGCTGCAGCAGGATGTAACTCGGGCCCCTGATCCGCTGCAGCACGGGACTGACGGCCATCAACAGCAACTGCAACAGCAACAGCAGCAGGAGCAGCAGCAGCAACAGCAACAGCAACTGCAACAGCAACAGCAGCAGCAGCAGCAGCAACAGCAGCAGCAGCAGCAGCAAAAGCGTTTTTTAAGTGAAGTTCGTGTGCGTCGCTTCGCTCGTTCTTCTGTGTCTCCTCGCGGAGACATTAATTTGTTCTCGCCTTACTTAGAGTTTGCTTTGGGGGCCCTTGAAAGCTGTTTGCTGCCCCCTTCACCTCCTCCCCCCCCTCTGTCTCCGCTGCAGCAGCAGCAACTGCTGCAGCAGCAGAGGGCCCACCTGCAGCTGCTAGAAGACTCTCTACTTGTTGCTGCTATCTTGATGGCTATAGGGGAGATCTTGAGGTCGGGGGGCCCCGGGGCCCCCGGGGGCCCCGCAAAGAGCTGCAGCAGGAGAGCAGCACAATTATATTTATATTTTAAATCTCACAAAGACAGAAACATAAGAAGGGGGGCCCTCTGTGTCTTAGGAAGTGCAGCAGGGCTGGCTTCCTGGAGTCTCTTCTCTACTTGGTTGCAGGAGACAGAGACAGCTGCTGGATTGGGGGCCCTAAAGGAGACAGGGGGCCCCCGGGGGCCCCCAGGGGCCTCCATACCCAAGCTAACGGAAGCGTTTGAGACCCTCCCACTGCAGCAGCATCAACTGCAGCAGCGGCAGCAGGATGGTTTATTGTTGCTGGAGACAGCAAAAGGGGGGTTTGAGTGCATAGCAGAGAGCCTCGCTGCAACAGCAAAAGGAGACAGTGATGAAGTTGCAAGAAGAATGGCTGCAACAATTTTAATAGAATGGGTCAATCTAAATAACAACGAAAACTCGTCCTTCTGGAGGGTATAGGGGCCCCTTGGGGGTATGCATATGGGGGCCCCCACCTTTAGGGGCCCCCCTTAGGGTAACTCTGGGGGCCCCCACCTCAGAGGGGCCCCCAACCCTAAACCCCCCCTTGGGGGGGCCCCATCTCAGGGGGGCCCCCACCTCTGGGGGGCCCCCATAAGCTGAGCTGGGGCCCCCGCATCAACATCTCTTTAAAGGTAGGGGGCCCCCCACAGGGACCACTTTAGAGACAGTTAGGGGCCCCCGCTTCCATATGGGAGCCCCCTTTAAAGCAGTTGGGGGCCCCCATATCATCATGGGCCCCTTTAGAGTGAGTTAGGGGCCCCTATACGAGTTAGCGGGGGCCCCCTGCGGGCCCCTCCTTAACAGTGCAGCAGCGGCAACGTTATAATGATATAAAAGTTTGTTTATTTTTTTCTGCTGTCTACCGGGGCCCAGGGGCACTTAAGGAGGAGATCTGTCTCAGCTATAGTGAGGTATTAACAGTATAGACATATTTATCTCTTTATATATATATATATATACATATACATATATATAATATATATAATAGATATGTATATTATATTACTATATATTATGTGTATAGACAAATGTGGATGGGTACTCGTGCATGCAGTGTCCCGTTGCATGCATTTTGGGTGTATGCATGCGTTTGGATTGCATGCAAATATAAAAGGGCTTCGTAAGAAGCATATTAATGCTGCAAACAGCAGCAGCAACAACAACCCCACCCCCTTCTTCAAGTCTCGACTGGGTGCAGCCATACACAGCACAGCGGCATATTATAATAATCATAATAAGAAGAGGAAACAGCAGCTGAGCAGCAGCAGATTTTGTTGCGTCAGTTGCTGCTGCAGCACACTTCGTTGCTGCAGCAGCAGGAGCAGCAGCAGGAGCAGCAGTAGCAGCAGAACCCTACGCTGTATCCACTCTCCTGCATGCATGAGTACCAGTGTAGACAGTTAATCGCTACTATGCATGCAATTAGAAATACAAATGACAATAGCAACAAAAACAAATCAGGCTCCGTCATATATTGGGGTGTACAGGGAGCTCAAGGCGAGGAATTCAGGCGTAAAGACATACAAAAAAAAGAACAAAACCCTAATTAAAAACAAATTAAAAAGACATACCAACGAATTACACTTCAGAGTTTAGTGTTCAGGGCTTAGGGTTTAGGGTTTAGGGTTTAGGGTTTAGGGTTAAGGGTTTAGGGTTTAGGGTTTAGGGTTTTAGGGTTTAGGGTTGGTGGTCTGGGGCCCCCTTGGGCGGTTCTACAGCTCTGGGGCCCCCGGTCTGTGCACGGGTTTTCGAGATTGTATGAAAGTTATAAATTATTGTCTTATAATTAAAAAAGCAGTAGAAATTAGAGTAAAATAATAAGAAAAACTACTCTGAAGTGTATGCCTCGTGCAGCACTTGAGGTGTACATACACCTCATCTGCTAGCGAGATATCAAATTAATATTTCTTCTTTTTCTCTTTAAACTTGTGTCATTTCTTTTGGTATTTTGGAATTAAATATCTTTTTTTATATTCTTTATGCATGCATGCATATAAGCAGCACTTATTCGTAGGGCTTCTTCTTCTTTTCTTGCTGCTCCCCCCCCTTCGTCCTCTCTTTATCTTTGTACTCCGCCTGAGACTATTGAATGCATGCAGCCTGAGTTTGCTTCTTAGGGATCCTGCTGCATCTCTCACACACCCTAAACCCTAAACCCTAAACCCTAAACCCTTGTCACCCGTCAATAGCAGGCCTGCCGTGAGCGGCGCGGAACCTTCACCGCTAGCAGGGCTTTTCATGCTTCTCTAAACCCTAAACCCTAAACCCTCAGTCTCTGTCTTGGTACAGCCTTGGCAGCGGCTTGTCCGCTTCCCCCCTCTCGCCCCCTTCCCTTTAACCCTGCAGCACTCGAAGGACTACAGCTTAGGGTTTAGGGTTTAGGGTTTAGGGTTTAGGGTTTAGGGTTTGCAAAGATGAAGGCCCTCATCCTGGTGGGGGGGTATGGGACCCGCCTCAGACCCCTAACTCTTTCTGTTCCTAAACCCCTTATTCACTTCTGCAACCGCTCTATTATTGAATATCAAATCGCTTCTTTCAAACGCGTACGGAAACCCTAAACCCTAAACCCTAAACCCTAAACAACACCTGAAGTGCAAGCGGGCAGGGCTCATGGGTTCTGGATTGATAGCTTAGGGTTTAGGGTTTAGGGCTTAGGGTGAGTAATTCTGTGGGTGATGATGTTTACGTGCGTAGCTCGGTTGTTAGGGTTTAGGGTTCAGTTTGCTTTTCAAGGGCTAGGGTTTAGGGTTTAGGGTTTAGGGTTTAGGGTTTGGGTGCAGGTAGGCGTTAGTCATCTTATTCTTGCCGTTGCTTATCAGCCCCAGGCCCTGATGGAGGCTCTGCATGAACTGGAGGCCAAGGTAAACCCTAAACCCTAAACCCTAGGCCGTATGAGCTAAACCCTAAACCCTCTTGCTTTATATGCTAGCCTCTCTATATCTACTCCCTTGGCGTGACAGTTGCAGGCTGCATCTTGTGGCATCAGGCTTTAGGGTTTAGGGTTTAGGGTTTAGGGTTTAGGGTTTGCGTCGCAGTACGGGTTAAAGATAAGTTGTTCAAAAGAAGAAGAACCCCTCGGCACTGCGGGGCCGATAAGGTTGGCTGAGGGTTTGCTGCAGCAAAAGGAAGAAGACCCAGCAGCAGCAGCAGCAGCAGCAGCAACAGCAGCAGCAGCAACAACAGCAGCAGCAACAGCAGCAGCAGCAACAGCAGCAGGAGCACCAGTGCGTGAAGCAGCAGCTGCAGGAGCAGCAGCAGGAACAGCAGCAGCAGCTGCAGCAGGGGCAGCACGCGTAACAGCAGCAGCACCACCAGCAACAGCAACAGCAGCAGCAGCACCAGCAACAGCAGCAGCAGCAGCAGCACCAGCAGCAGCAGCAGCAACAAGCATTGGTCTTGATGATGAATGCTTTTTTGTTTGTAACAGCGACATTATCTGCTCCTTTCCGCTCGAAGATATGTACAAGTTTCACAAACAAACAAAAGCAGAAGCCACCATCCTTGTCAGCCTCTCCTGCTGCTGCTGCTGCTGCTGCTGTTGCTGCTGCTGGGGTTGCTGCTGCTGCTGCTGTTGCTCTTGGTGCTGCTCTTGCTGCTGCTGGGGTTGCTGCTGCTGCTGCTTTATTTATTATCATTTTTTTGTTAGTATAGACATATATATTAATAGATAGATATAAATGAACTAATTAATTAATAATTTTAATTAATTAATTAATATTAATTAATACTAATTAATATTTATTTATATTTATTTATATTTTATTTATTTTATTAGGTAACACGCACCTCTGAGCCTTCAAAGTTTGGAGTCTGAGTATATTGATTTACATATATCAAACGACATATAAAAATTAACTAATTAATTAGTTATTTTAATTAATTAATTAATACTAATTAATATTTATTTATATTTATTTATATTTTATTTATTTTATTAGGTAACGCGCACCTCTGAGCCTTCAAAGTTTGGAGTTGTACTTCACTCAGCTGAGGGGCAGGTGAAGAAATTCGTAGAAAAACCAAAAGAGTTCGTCGGCGACTTCATTAATGCAGGTAAAGCAATTAAATATAAATAAATAAATTAAATAAATAAATAAATAAATATATAAATATATAAATATATAAATAAATAAATTAATTAATTAATCAATTAATTAAGGCTTTTGGAAACGCAGTTTTTTATTTGGCCGGCGTTTACAAATGCAACAAAATAAATAAATAAATTAAATAAATAAATAAATTAATTAATTAATTAATTAATTTTATTTATTTATATTTAATTGCTTTACCTTATTATATTTTGTTTATTTCCTTTGTATTTATTATAATTTATTTAATGTGTTTTGTTTATTTTCTTTGTCTTTACTACACTATATTTAATAAATATTGTGCATTTTCGTATTCTTCTTTGTTTGTTTGTTTGTTTGTTTGTTTGTTTGTTTGTTTGTTTGTTTGTTTGTTTGTTTGTTTGTTTTGATATGTTTGATTATTTATTTAACTGTGTAGGTGTTTATATATATATAACAAATAATGTGTATGTTCTATGTGTATGTTCTATTTGTTTGTTTATTTAATTGTTTAGGGGTTTATATATTTAACAAATCCTGTATAAGTATGATACCTTTAGCGAGATGTTCGTTAGAAAAGGATTTCTTCCCCCGACTTGCAGCCAGAGGCACTCTCTACTGCTGGCGATTAGAAGGCTACTGGTTTGTCTCCTGTCTCCTTTTATTATTTATTTCGTTTGTTTTATTTATCTGTTTGTCTCCTGTCTCCTTTTATTATTTATTTTATTTATTTACTTGTTTGTTTTATTTGTCTGTTTGTCTCCTGTCTCCATTTATTATTTACTTTCTTTGTTTTATTTATCTGTTTGTCTCCTGTCTCATTTTATTATTTAGTTTGTTTGTTTTATTAATCTGTTTGTCTCCTGTCTCCTTTTATTATTTAGTTTGTTTATTTTATTTATTTACTCGTTTGTTTTATTTATCTGTTTGTCTCCTGTCTCCTTTTATCATTCTTTCTGTCCCTTTTATTAATTTGTTTTGTTGTTTGTTTGTCTCCTGTCTCCTTTTATTATTCATTTTATTTGTTTTACAATTTATTTGTTTGTTTTATTGTTTGTTTGTTTCTTCTGTTTGTCTGTCTCCTGTCTCCTTTTTAATTTGTTTTGTTTGTCTGTCTCCTGTCTCTTTTTATTATTCTTTTTAATCTTTTTGCTTCTGTCTCCATTTATTATTTATTTATTTCTTTCTCTTGTTCTTTGTCTCCTGTCTCCTTTTATTATTTATTATTATTTTATTATTTATTATTTTGTTTCTATCATCATTATATGTTATTACTAGTTATTATTTTATATAATTATTTTATTATGTTCTACAAATACATTTTATAATTATTAAATATTACTATACATTATTATATTATTAATTTTTTTGATTACATATAATAATTTCTTTATTATTATTTCTTATTAACTGTTATTATTATTTATTAATTATTATTTGTTATTATAATTCTTTAATTATTATAATTATTATATTTATTTTATTTATATGTCTTAGGGCTGACATTGGACAGCCAAAGGATTTTCTTCATGGAATGTCTCTTTACCTCGAAGCACTACGAAGCAGCAAACTTGCTAAATCAAGGGGCCCCTCTGAGGGCCCCTCTGGGGGCCCCTCTGGGGGCCCCTCTGGGGGCCCCCCTTATGGAGGGGCCCCCGTGAAGAGGGAAGAGGGGGCCCTTGATATGATGGCTTTAAAGAATGGGGGGGGGCTGTTGGAGTGTATAGGGGGCCCCCGAGAGGGTACAGGGGGGCCCCTAGAAGATATAGGGGGACCCCTAGAGGATATAGGGGGCCCCCAAGAGGGTCTAGGGGGCCCCCAAGAGGGTATAGGGGGCCCCCATCCTGGTATCGCTTGCTTGCCGTCTCAAGAACTGTCTCTTGTTGAGGGCCCCCAGTTCATTGGAAATGTTCTCGTGGTACATACACCAGAAAATTAAATCTGTCTCCTTTTTGTCTCCTTTTCCTGTCTCTTTCTTTCTCTCTTTTTCTATTTGTCTCTCTCTCTCTCTCTCTGTCTTCATCTTTATCTTCATCTTTATCTTCATCTTTATCTTTATCTTTTTTTTATGTTTATGTTTATGTTTATCTTTTCTTCTGTCTTTATACTTTTCTTTTTCTGTGTCTGTCTCTCTTTCTTTTTGTCTCTGTTTTATATTCGTCTCCACCTAAACCCACAAATATAAATATATACACATATAAATATATAAATATATATATACGTATATAAATATATAAATATATAGATATATATATATATATGTACATATATAAATACAAATATAAATATAAGTATAAATATAAATATAAATATAAATATATATATATATATCTACACCTATACCTGCATATATTTCTTTATTTACACTAATATATATATATATAGACATATATATACATTTATATATATATATATATCTATATATACTTTGATAAATACCTTGATTAATGCGTATGTATTTGTGTATTTTACATTGACATCCATCCACCTAACTAAATAAAAACAAACAAATAAATAAATATATATATAAATATATATTTGTTTGTTATTTTATCAGGATAGAACAGCATCAATAGGCGAAGGGTGTATATTAGGCCCGAACGTATCTGTGGGGCGGGGTGTCTCCATCGGCAGAGGCTGCAGACTACAGAATACAGCCGTCATGGAAGGGGTCAAGATCGACGACTTCGCGTGGATTGAGTCCTCTATTCTAGGCTGGAAGTCGCTAATAGGCAAATGGGTATCCACTTTCACGCCTAGCTAGCTAGCTATATGCCTAGCTAGCTAGATAGATAGATAGATATATACATAGCTAGCTAGCTAGCTAGCTAGATAGATAGATAGATAGATAGATAGATACATAGATAGAGAGATAGAGAGATAGAGAGATAGCCGGCTGGGTAGCGAATAACCGATCTTAATTGCTAGCCAGCTAGCTAGCTGGCTAGCTAGCTAGCTAGCTGGTACAGAATATGTATATATATATATATATATATATATATATATTATATGTAGCTGTATATGCG